CCCCCCCTCACTCCCAACTCCCCTCTTAGGCCCCCAGCCCCGATGCCGCAGACCCACCAGGGCGTCCCACCTGGCTGACTCAGGCTTGGCTGCAGCTGGGCAGGAAAGCAGAAGCCAGCGCAGGGACGGGAGCCTCACTTCTCCAGGCTCACCCCCCCCCCCCGCTGGGCCAGGAGAGCTGGCCTTCCTTGTTTCCACTGTGCCAGGCTTTGTGGGGGGCATCCCGGCCCTCAGTGAGCTCTGCAGGGGAGAGGAGCCACGGGTAGAGCAGTAGTGACCTGAAGCCTGTATGATGTACATCGGGGGATGGCCGCCCGGGGCCCACACCGGGGGGAGTCAGCGCGGCCCGAGTCGCTTTGCCCAGGACTGTGCCGGGCACCTCGGGTGACGGAGCTTCAGCTCCCCTAGGGCGGGGGAATGGGGAGGTTTGGGGAATAAAGCCAACGTGGAGGGCTCAGGGGCAGAGGGAGAGCTGCCCCAGGCTGGGTTGGGCCACAGCTGGGCCTGGGCACTTGGGAAGGTGTTGACGCGGACAGCAGTGGAGGCCGCCCAGAGGGGAGCCTGGAGGGAGGCCTGGGTGTTGGGGATAACCCAGCACTGACTTTGCAGGGCCTCAGATGCGGGGCGCGACACGGGACAGGAGCCTGCAGGAGGAAACGCCCACACCAGCCTGGAACACAGCCGAGCCCCAGCTCTGCAGCCGTACCCCCAGCTCTGGGGGAGCCCCAGTCTGCATGTGCACATTGACAGCAGCAGGTTGGGGAGCCGGGCTTTCCCTGAGTCCCGTGGCTGGATGATCCCCCCATCTTGCCCCTTTGGACCCTTCACAAAACCCATTTCCTTCGTGAAGCCTCGGTGAGACCACACAACATGGCTCTAGGGAGTCAAGTGTGCTTGCCCTGTGCTGGGCAGGCCGGAAGGAACACCAACAAATGTAATTGCTCCAACTTCTCCAGTGGTTCCGAAGCACCAGCCCCACTGGACGTATTCGTAACCGCAACCCCGCCCATTTGATCAGGGAACCCTCAGACACATCCAGTTGGGGTACTGACCCCACTTGGTAAGAGGAAACTGAGGATCAGAGAAAGGAGGCAGCGTTCCCAAGGAAACACAGCTGGTGGTTGGTGCAGGCACTGGCCAGACGCTGTGTGGGCTATCTTCTGTCTCCAGTCTCAGCCTGGCTGGGGTCCTGGGACCAAGAAGGAGTCCTTTATCCTATGACTGCCCAGGCAGTGGGTGACGACTACAGGAGGCACATCTGGGCTGGAATTATTTATGGGATGCCCCCTGATTGGGCATCCAGTGGGGCCCCGCTCCCAGTGCCTGGGAAGGCTTGGGGACTCTGAGGCCAAGGGAGGGTCAGATGGCCGCTTCGCTAGGTCATTCACCCTGGGTGGCCCCAGGCATGGAGGGCCCTGACAGGTGCTGTGGGGGGGAGGGGTGAGGACAGAAGGTTCCCAGCCCTGGGGGAGGGCCAAGGGACAGGGACCTTTGTGGGGGGATGGGGAATAGGAATCCAGGTCAAAGATTCCGTGAGGACCCAGCGCAGTGTCCCCTGGGACCTAGTGGTGAGTGTCAGGGCCAGGTGTGGAAAGAGGGCATCAGCGGAGGGGCAGCGGGGGGGGGGCTGGCACTGAGGGCATCAAGGACACGGGAGACCCCTCTGGGTAGCATGGGAGGGGCTCTTGACTATTGACTGCACGTGGCAACAAGGAAACTGCACATCATAAGGGAGATGACTTTCCTGAGGGCCTGGCTGGTGGCTGAGAGCCGGGACTCAGACCTGGGGAGGCCAGCCTGGAGCAGCGAGGAGCTGGGCCGGGGCCTGGGTCCCCCCAGCAGGCCACTGTATAGGGCACAGCTCAGGACTGAGCCTCTCTGCTGTGTGACCCGGGGCCGGTCTCTCAACTGCTCTGGACATGAGCAGCTAAGCTGGAGCGGGGTGTCAGCCCTCATAGGCGCCCAGCACGTCGTGACTCGGGAAATACGAGCCCGGTGCACAGCGGCTGCGGAGAAACCCCACTGCTGACAAGAGAAGCACACCTCGTGTTCAAGGTTTTATGTTGGGATCAGTATCAACGTACCATACAAAACCCGCCACCGCCCAGCCGGGCAGGCAGGCGGGGGCCGCAGGATGTGTAGAAAACCAGGGCTCTCGTCCCAAAAGAGGAGAGAAAAGGGGGCTTTACAGTCAGGGACAAGTAAAATCAGAACCAACATGATCAGGAGGCCTCGCCTCAGCAGGCAGTGCTGCGCCCAGCACCCCAGGGTGCCGGCAGCCGAGCCCGGAGGGCCTGGGGCCCCATGGGGCTGGCTCACAGGTTTATTTTTAATTATTTTCTTTTTTGGAGGGGACTTCTCGGCAGCAGCCCCATTGTGGGGATAACCCGGGGGCAGGTTTCACTTCAGGGTTTGGAGGGGAAGTTGGGGTCTGTGGGGCGGGTCCCGCCCAGCCCCAAATGTCACAGCCGGGGTTCTGGGAAGCGGCCGAGCGAAGTTCCTTCCTGCCCTGACCCCAGGTCTATGGCTTAAAAATCGGGGTGCCCAGGCTGGGGCCGTGCAGCCCAGGGGCTTCTGTAAACATGGCAGGTGCAGCGAGGTGGGGCTTCAGGGGCTTCCAGGACCCCGGGGTCGGAAGTGGCCAGAACCCCGGGGAGGGCAGTGTCCGTGGGGGAGGGGGTCTGAGGCGGGGGAGGGGGTCTGAGGCGGGGGAGGCAGGAACAGAGACCGAGAGAGACAGGGAGGAAAAAGGAGACAGAAGGACAGAGAGACGGGGACAGAAAGAGTGACGGGGAGAGACAGGGAGACTCGGTGAGAGGGATGGAGAGACAGGCAGCCGCGGAGACGAGCGGAGGGTGCAGACGAGGGCGGAGAGGCCGGCCGGGCGGCTCCGCTCAGCGGCCGGCGGGCGCGGGC